GAGGACCCGGGAAGGAGGATATTTGAGGCCAGAGTCCACCTCTGCGCCAGTGTGTGCCCCCGTTTGGCCAAGACTTCTCCCGAACTGTTCCAGCTTCACTGTGTGTTGAAGGCACCATATCTTTGGAGTAGAAATTCCCAAATTTTCTTTCAAAAAGCTATCTGCCTATGAGTTTGTGTTCTGTGGGGCAGATTTGGCCTTTTCAGGGTTGGATGGGTTTTATGTATATGTTCATTTAAGTGTTCCCTACACCCCTTGGCCTGACCACTAACCCCCTCATAGATCTTATTGGGGAGGTTGGTGGGGCACCAGCGTGGGCTCGTGCCTTTGGAATTCAAACCAGGGCACAAGTAACTTTCTTTTTTTCTTTAAAGAGTTTATTTTTAGAGAGCTGGAGAGAAACATCAACCTGTGGTTGCTTGTCCTGCGCCTCTCACTGGGGACCTAGCCCACAGCCCAGGCACGTGCCCTGAACTGGGAATCCAACCGTGACCCTTCGGTTCACAGGCTCATACTCAATCTACGAGCTACACCAGCCAGGGCAACAAGTAGCTTTCTTAGTCTCCAGGTGCCCCAGCAATCCGAGCTCCCTCGTAAATCAGCCCCATTTTCTTTCTTCCCTGTTCACGTGGATCCTTTCCACCCCTAGCTCCTGCGCCCCACAGTGACCCTATTGGAATTGAGCGCTGATTCGCAGTTTTTTCTGGCCTGAAAAGTGCGCCGGGGTAGGGGGAAGGCAGCAAGGGAGGACTAGGAAGGTCGCTCCTTTCCAAGAAGTGGTGCTGGCGCGCACTCTGGTGGAAGAGAGTGGAACTGCAGGTGTTCAGTTTTAGCTCCGCCCCGGGGACAAGGCCTTCCAGGTCACCTGGGAACCTCCGTCCAACAGGACAGATTTGACCCTAAATGGAGGAACTGGTGTCCGGAACTAAGCTGGGGATCTTGCAGAAAGACGGGGTGAGGCGCATACATTATTGGGAAGCTTGAGGGGTGGACAGAAGAGGGGCGTGGGACTCTTGGAGAGGGTCCAGGTAAAAGGGCCGTTGAGCCACGACTCTCAGTGGGGCAGGGCCGTGGAGAAAGGTCTGCGCTGGCCTGCTGATGCCTAAGCCTGGAGCTTGGAGAGACAGCGGTTGCCTCCGTTGTCACATCGCATATCGTGTGCGCGTGGGGTGCTGAGAGTCCAGACCTTGACTGCAGTGCCTTCCCTGAGTGTCTGTTTTTACGTGCTGGGAGCAGGGCTCCCCAGAGCTGTTCCCTGGCCAGGATGGTGGAGAGGGCACATGAGGAACTCACTCACCCGCACCTCTGCCCCAGATGACAATGCAGAGCCCTGACATCCCATGTTCCTGTGATTGCTTTGTCTCGGTGCCCCCGGCCTCGGCCATGCCCGCTGTGATCTTTGCCAAGAACTCAGACCGACCCCGGGACGAGGTGCAGGAGGTGGTGTTTGTACCAGCAGGCACTCATGCCCCTGGCAGCTGGCTGCAGGTGGGTTAGGCCTTCCGGGGCGCTGGGAGGTGGCTGATGTAGGCATTCTTCTAAGACAGCGATTTTCAACCAGTGTGCCTGGCACCCTGTTGTGCCGCAAGAATCTTTAAAACATGCAACACCTATCTAGTGAGGGGCACTGACCTCTTCCCTTAGATTTCAAATTTTTTAAAAAAATGACACAACAGCCAACACACTAGTCATCTGGTGCAAATTAATCAAAATTATACCTACTTTTTTTTTGTCTGATCGGCAAAACATTATTTTTGGTGTACCACAGAATCTTAGTAATTAGTTTACGTGTGCCGTGCGATGAAAATGTTGAAAATCACTGGCCTAAGACCTTTCTCCGCTCTGCTCCCCACACCTGGGAAACCTCCAGGTTTGGAAAGAGCATGAGCTTCAAGTCTACCACCTGGACTTAGCCCATTACTTAAACCTCTGCCGTCCTCAGTCTCCTTATCTGTAAAATGGGAACGATAAGGCCTTCCTCTAAGGGCTTCGTGGACGACTGGCACCGTCCCAGCACCTTGCAGGCAGGTACCTCCTCCTTTCTGAGCCGACCCTCCCTTTCTCCTCCTTTACCTGTAGTGCACCTACATTGAGGTGGAACAGGTGCCGAAGACCCATGCTGTGATCCTAAGCCGCCCTTCTTGGCTGTGGGGGGCTGAGATGGGCGCCAACGAGCATGGCGTCTGTATTGGCAATGAGGCCGTCTGGACCAAGGAGCCTGTTGGGCAGGGCGAAGCCCTGCTGGGCATGGATCTACTCAGGTGCGGCCCCTGCCACGCAACCCCCCCCCCAACACACCAGTAGTCTGGGGACTATACACCGAACCAGGCCTGCACCCCTCCCCCACACCTTGGTGTCGTTACCAGGAGGCTGCCTCTGAGCCTCCTCTCTCCTGGCCTCATCTCCACAGTCTGGTGAGAAGCCTGGCCCAGAAATAGGGCAGTGGTTTTAAATTTATTTTCTTTTTTAAAAAAAGATTTTATTTTCAGAGAGAGGGGAAGGGAGGGAGGGAGAAAGAGAGGGAGAGAAACATTGATGTGAGAGAGAATCATCAAGCGGTTGCCTGTCAAACACCTCCCACCGGGACCCTGGCCCCCAATCCAGGCACATGCCCTGACTGGGAATTGAACCGGTGACCTTTTGGTTTGCAGGCTGGCATTCAATCCACTGAGCCACATCAGCCAGGGCTTAAATTTCTTTTCAATAGAGCCACATCAGCCAGGGCTTAAATTTCTTTTCAATTTTCAATTGAAAATTTCTTTTCAATTTCAATAGAAATTTCTTTTCAATAATTTTTCAAGCGAAATCTCACGTGGCGTCCTGGTTCAGAAAACCAGTAGAAATAGAGCAGCTCTGCCCAAGGAGAAGCTGTGGGCTCAGGACACATCTCTCGCTGAGACTGTTTCAGGCCTTTTCAGGGGACCCACAGCAACAGCTGGAAAACCATGGGCACACTTGTGCAATGTTGCTAGATTTTTCTACAGGACTTGGGCCTGATGCCCAACCTCCCTGGGTCTCTTCTGTCCACTGGAGCTTCTGCCCCAAGCCACTAATACCCCCCTCACCCTTCTGCCCCCTGGACCTCTTTCTGTACCAGGCTGGCTTTAGAACGGAGCAGCTCGGCTCAGGAGGCCTTGCGTGTGATCACAGGCTTGCTGGAGCGCCACGGGCAGGGCGGCAGCTGCCGGGAGGACCCCACACCGTTCAGCTACCACAACACCTTCCTGCTGGCTGACCGGACGGAGGCGTGGGTGCTGGAGACGGCAGGGAGGCTGTGGGCTGCACAGCGGATCCAGGGTGAGGCGCCTGCGCTGGGGCCTGCTTCCCTGTCCGCTTCTGCGGGCCTTGGAGGAGGGTGGGGAAGATGGTGGTGGCAGGGAAGGGCCAGTCCGGGTGCAAATGAACCCACTGGGGAACTTATCCTCCCCCCTTCACTTGGTTAAGTCCTCTTGTGCTTCAGCCTGCTGCTTCCTCCGAGGAGCCTTCCTGGACTCCCTGGTGGTCGGGTGTCCCCCTTATTTGCCAGCAGGCGCCCCTGCATCACACTCACCGCAGATGGCAAGCTCACATTTACTTCCGCAATATTTTTGTTCCTACCCCCCTCCACGAGGGTGGGTCTCTCCTCTTCGCTGTTCTGTTCTCAGCACCTGGCCAAGCACCTGGCACACAATGGGTGCTCAGTGATGGATGAACAACCCCCCTCTCCTCCACAGAGGGAGCCCGCAACATCTCCAACCAGCTGAGCATTGGCACAGACATCTCAGCTGAACACCCAGAGCTTCGCACCCACGCCCAGGCCCAGGGCTGGTGGGGTGGCCAGGGCACCTTTGACTTCGCCCAGGTCTTCTCCCTGACCCAGCAGCCCGTGCGCATGGAAGCTGCCAAGGCTCGCTTCCGGGCCGGGCGGGAGCTGCTGCAGCAACAGCAAGGTCAGAGAGTGGATGGACGGGGGCGGCTGGCCGCCTAGGCCGGGAGGGCCACGGGGCTGCCAGCCTTTCTGCCCTGGGGGCCCTTACCCTGTTCTGCGTGGCAGGGGGCATCACGGCAGAGGCGATGATGGACATTCTCAGGAACAAAGAGAGTGGCATCTGTATGGACTCCGGAGGCTTCCGCACCACGGCCAGCATGGTGTCCATCCTGCCCCGGGATCCCACTCAGCCCTGCGTCCACTTCCTCACTGCCACGCCAGACCCGTCCAGGTGAGAGGAGAGGCTGGGGGGAGGGGCAGAGTGTGCTGGCGGGGGAGTGGAGAGATGTGAGGGTCCTCAACCCTGCCATCTGTGTCCCCTTAGGTCAGTGTTCAAGCCTTTCATCTTTGGGGCCGGCGCGGCCCAGGCCCCCCAGGTGCTGTCCCCCACTTTTGGAGCACAGGACCCTGTTCGGACGGTGCCCCGATTCCAGACTCAGGTGGATCGTCGGCACACTCTCTACCGTGGACACCAGAAGGCCCTGGGGCTGATGGAGAGGGAGCAGGTAACCCCGGCAACAGGAGCTACCCCTGGGAATGACTCATCTCCCATACACTCCCCTGGGTTCTGGAAACATGAGGGGACCTGCGAGTGGAGAGCGTCCCAGGCTGGGGAGAGGGGTCTCTCCCTTCAAAGCCAGCTGTCCAGGAGGATGTCCTTTCTCCTGCTGTGCAGACATGCGCCCCTTAATTGGGAGGGGAGCCTGCCCTGGGCACTCATCGCTGCCTTTTCCGGGCAGGATCAGGGCCTGCGGCTGTGGCAGAAGCAGCGGGATCTGGAGCGGGAAGGCCTGGAGGCTGCGAGCCGGCTGCTGGCCGGGGAGTGGGCCCCGCCGTCCCAGGAGCTGGGTGGCCTCTTCCAGGCCTTCGTGGAGAGGGAGAGCCAGGCGTATGCCTGAGGCTGGGAGGAGCCCAGCGTGGGGTTCAGGGGCTGAGCTGGGCACCGGACCCCTGGGGTAATGTGATTAGATCCCTTTGTTACAGCCCTTGTTCTGAGTGGCCGGCTTGGCCTGGGTTTAATAAATGTGTCTTGTTTCTAATGTGTTTTACTCATTGCTTCCCTTGAGGAGCCCCCAGTGACAGGAAAGACATACTCAGGGCCTGGAGACACTTTATTGGGAGGGCTCTGAGGAGCGGGGTAGGCCCGCTCTGCTCTTATTCTGGCCCTGCCCTCATTCCTGTGGCTTCACTGACAGGGGCGGCCTGCACTTCACTTCTTGGTCCCTCTGGTCATAGTTTTCGTTGTGCTGGAGGCCACAGCCACTGAGGCCTTGGAAGCTGCAGCTTCCCTGACCCCTCTCCTTGCCTGGACGGTGCTGTGGAGGCCCCTGGAAACCAGAGGGCACGGTTTCTTAGTGGCACAGGAAGCTCGTGGCAAGGAAGTGGACTCGAGGGGTGTCTCCTCCCCCTGCCTGGGAGTGACAGAAGGGCTGCTGTCCCCAGCCATGGCCCTCCCGGGCAGGGCGGGAAGCTCAGTGAGGACGGGCTGTGTCTCCATCCTCAGACGGTGTTCTGCCAGGGCTGCCTGCTGTCTGCGCTCCTTGTGCCTGCTCATGTCCTGCTCCAGCTCCTTGAGGAAGCCTGTGGGGCCAGGACAGTGGGTGCTGGATGGAGCCTGGGCTGAGCAGGGGGGGTAGTCCTGGGCTGAGGGTGAAGGTCTCTGGCTACCTGAGCAGACTGCCACCCTTAACAGGGAGGGGGGCCTGAGGCTGGGTGGGGAGGGCGAGTCACCTGTGTGCCCAGGCTGACACCTGGCCCTAGCTGTATTGTTCTGCTCTGGCCCAGATGCTGACCTGGGCTTGGGGCCACTTCCCAGACATCACTGCAGCCTCAGCTTCCCCCGGGATCCCACAGGGCAGGGGCAGGCTCTGGGGAAGCTGCAAGCCTTGTGGCCCAGGGTCACCTTGCTCTGAGCGGAATGGGCCATGCAGCTCGGGGAACTCCTCGTCAGAGGCTCCGTCCTCCTCACCCGAGTCCCAGCGCTCCAGCACAGGCTGCCTGTCCAGGTCCAGGAGCAATGGCAGGGCCCCCGTCACCCGCTCCCTGCAGGGCAGGAAGCAGAGGCTATGCTGGAGGGCGCCCCTGGGTGCAGAGCCTGGGAGGTCGCAGACACCGCAACAGCACCCACACTGGGTGGGATGGCGGCTCGTGAGCGGGAAGTCCCCGCAGAGCTAAGGGCTGGCTCCAGGGGTGGAGTTATAGGAGGCGAAAGGGAAAAGGGGGCCGACGTGAGCTGGGGTGAGCTGGGGTGTGGGGAGGTACCATGGGCCAGGACTCCAGGTTTGCAGGCTGAGAGCGTACCCATGTGGTGTTAGGAGGAGGGGCTCAGACGTCACCTCTTCCTTCCCACCTCACTTCATCCTTACCTATAGCCTTCCTGTTTGGTGCAGCTGTTTCCAGTCAGGTTAAGGATGAGAAGGCTCTGGGGGAATTCATCTGCTCGGACCAAAGTAGGGGAATGAGGTTCTCATACCCACCTTCCAGCCCAAAGCTACGACCTCTCTGCACAGCCCCCAGCCCCCCTGGAGGGTGGGCTGTCAGTGCGAGCACAGGGAGATGGGGGCAGAGAGGAAGGAGGGCCGGCCTGGGACTTATCCTATGAAAGGGGTGAGAGCATTCCTACCCAGCTTTAGTTTTTCTATCAGATTCTCGGCAAGGTCCAGAAACTGGAGGTGAGGGAGGTCACGGAGGTTTTCCACCTGACTGATTTGGTTTCCTGCCAGAGACAGGAAGCTGTAGGGGAAGGGAGGGTACAGAGAAAGCGCTGAATCAGAACACCTGCAGGAAAGGAAGAGGGCATCAGGCACTCAGGCCCCTGGCTATGCAGGTGGAAGTGGGGACACATGGGGACACGTGGCCCTCTGGGGTGAGGGAAGCAGGATCCCCGACTGATAAAAAGCCGGGCTTTGAAGTTTCAACTGGTTGTTTGGGGTGCTCATCCCTTTCTTCCCCTCCCCACCCCTGCCTGAGCCCTGGCACCACATACCGCAAGGAGGGGACACAGGCCAGGTTCTCAATTCGCTGGATCTTATTCTGCAGGAAGAAACCAAGGTGGCAGACCAACCTGAGGTCAGCTGGGTAGGGGACCCTTTAAAGGGACAAAGTCCCAAGTCCCTACTCTTGCAACTGGAGGTCTGACACTTGGGAATGATGACCCCAGTCACTGACCTGTTTTCACAACCTTGGGGTGATTTGCTATCTGCAGATAGATGGTTCAGGGTGTAAACTTGGGGCTGGTTAAACTTGATTAAAGTATACCCTGCTCACCCCACAACGAAAGAGTGACCTGGAATCAGCGAAGCAAACCAAGGCACTACAGGGAAAGGAGAAAGGCCTTGGTGGGGGCTTGCACACACGGAGGGAACAATGAACACATCTTACTTTGATTTGTAAAGTTTCAGCGGGGCAGGACTCAGGGAGCTGGTATATTCACTCAGGGGGAGGCTGAAGGTCAACTAACCACCCACCACCACTGACGGCCTTCAGGTTCCTGAAGGACACAGGGATCTTCTGGTTCCCTCTTCCTCTTTTTAAAACAGGAAAAGAGCTATATAACATGAGAGATTTCAGGTAGACACCAAGAAGAACTGGACAAAGACAAGCGTCTGAGAAAAAAATGAAACAAAACAGTGACTCCAGAACATGCTTAAGATCTGTTTTGGGAGGATTGGTCTTTCAATGCGGGAGAATTCCCAGTTCATTTGGGAACGGCTTCAATGAAGGGAATGGACGAGATGATCTGACTGGCTCCCTTCAGATTACACAGACTTGGCCACAGGGAGCAAAAGGGGAGGAACAGAACAGGACAAGAAGTTACCGCTTGTAGATAGAGGCTGTGAAGATTCCGGAGGCCCTCTAGATTCGAGATAGTGGTAATCCCCTCCCGGTCCAGGCGGACAGTCTGTAGTTCAGCAATAGTGTGAAACCTGGGAGAGTGGGCAGTAGGGTGGTGTCACAGAGTGCCTCTTCTGTGCTCTCTCAGCAGGGACCGTGAGGAGGGGGGAGGAAAGGGTTTAAGGAGGAGTGGACGGCTAATTGACTTTGATCAGGTATCAGGAACACCTTCTTGACTTATCAGGTGGCACAGATCATGCAACCGGGCTGACTTGGAGGCCTGGATCTGTCAGTAGCACTGAGAGGGGTCAGGGTGAGAGAGGAGCCAGGGCCCTTGAACTGGGACAGCAGCTTATAGTTCCTGGAGAGACTCAAAGGCAAAGGAAGCCTTTGAGTCAGCTTGGATGGTGGAGGCAGGAGCTGGGACAGAGAAAAGACAACCTCCGCAGGACGATCCTCCCTCACCACCCTTTTGAGTAGTCCATGGAGGGAAAATCACTTGTTCCATCCACCCGTTTATTAATTCCACAACATATATTGAGTGCCCACTAGAGACATACAAGAGAGTCCTTGCCCACCACTATTTAGGGAAGTGGGCTAAACATCTATGACAAGTGGATGACAGCCAAGTACAAGGCACTAAGGGAGCACATGGCCTGTGCACTGAGTCCAGAGTAGGGAAATCAGGGAATGCTTCCTGGAGGAAGTGACATATGAATAGGAGTTAGCCAGGAATACGAGAGGGGTATGAGGAGAAAGTATTTGAAACAGAAGGAATAGTATGTACTTATTTAGCCTTTCTCAAACTTTAACGTGCCCATAAATCCCCTGCGCATCTTGTTAAAAATACAGATTCTGATTTGGTGAGCCTGAGATTCTTCATTTCTAACGAGCTCCCAGGGGACGCTGCTGCTGCTGCCCCGGCCCCCAGCAGCACTACACACTCCAGTGAGGCACTAAGGTGTAAGGGCATGTCGTAAGAGGAATTGCACACTTGTGGAGAGGGGCAAGATATAAGGCTGAATGGGCAGCACAGGTCATTTTGGAATGCGGTATCTGGGGGTGCCTAATCGGATTTGTCATTTAAAGAAATCGCTTTGGAAACAATTCAGGGGGCCTGGACTAGGGTCAGGGAGACTAATTACGAGTTTGTGGAGAGGTGATGACAGCTTTGTCTAAGGCAGTTGAGTGGCCATGGTGGAAAAGAAATAGAATGATTTTTAAGGACGGAAAATCAATTGGAATTAACACTGATTGCATGTGTGGAGTAACAGGGTCAAAGATCAGTTGACAAATCAGTGTAGCTCAGGGGTCTGGTCATCCCAGGTGTTTCGATCTTCCAGCACCCTCATCTCTCCCACGCACTCACATCTTCTCCGACAGATCCTCATCCTCAAGAAAGGTCAAGTTCCGCTTGGTGATAAGGGCTTCAGTAATGCCCACGCCCCCTTCCTCTGGACTCTGGGCAAAATTAGCTGTGAAAAGATAGGCTCAGTTATTACAGGCCTGATCCTACCGTTATCCAATTCTTCCACCTACCATCCCATCTCCCTACTCACCTGCATGCATGCCGTAAAGGCTGCTGGCCCCGGGGCGGGATTGGAACGAAGAGCAGAGCGGCTTGGACAGCTCCTGGGGATGGCGGGACCCAGAATGGTATGAAACGAGAGGAGCTGAGTAACTTGGGGGACAGGGAAAGGAGTTGATTCAGAGCAAATTATGGAAATGGAGTAAAGGCCGAAGTAAATCGAAGTGGAAGGTCTGGAGTTTAAAGGTAGTAGAAGGGCTTTGCTGGCAGCAAACTGGGGAAGAGGGTGCTTGCGGATGCCGAGAGCAGTTTAGCGGTTTAGCGTCGTTGCTAGGAGACCGACGCCAGACAAGCCGACCTGGAACACGGACTCGCGGCGCATGCGGATTACCGTTGCCGGGCCAGGGTTGGGGTGGTGGGGGGGAGGGTATCCGCCCGCTGCTTCCGGCCTCAGGTCTCCCACAATCCTTAGCTCTTTCCGTTTCACTCGGCTCCCGTCTGTTCTGCCGGTGGCAATGGCTGTGGCCGTGGCTGGGATTCTGCGAGGCGGTCTCCTGCCCCAGGCGGGTAAGGGGCGGCCCAGGTCCTCATGACGCGTTACGACCGGTGCTCTCTGATCCTCGTCCCCCCTTCTCTACTACTAGTCTTCTCCCATAATCTAACCCCTGACAGCTCCCGATGACCCGCCTCCCCAGCTAGATCGCTGGCCTCCTTCCCTAGTCTAATTCCCTGAGACTCCAGACTCTAGTAATAATCGCAACACAGCAGCAGCGTCGACCATAACCACAGTGTTTATTGACTACGCCCCAGCTCCCGAGCCTTCTTTGGGTTTATGTAACCCACCATCAAGGTTTTGCTCGCCTCCAGCCTACTTTGCTTAGACCACTCCCGCCCCCACCTTGGCACTGTGTCTCCTTAAGGTCTCAGCCTAAATGTCACCTACTTAGGCCTGCCCTTGCAGGCCTCTGCAAAGGTGGTTTCCCTGTTAAATTCGTGACTTACACCCTGTTTATCGATTCCTTAGTCCATCACAGTTTGTAATTGCCCATGTGTTTGTTTCTATTATACTTTAAATTCCATAAGGGTAGAACCATGTTGATAATGCCTAACGTTATTAGGCATGTAGTAGGTATTTGTTTATTGAATGATTTTGAGCACACCGTATAGGCCAGGTACAGTGATAAATGCTTTACATGTACTATCTCATTTAGTTCTTAAAGCACCCTATGAAGAAAGCATTCTCATTCCCACTTCACAGATGAAGACATTCAAGTTCAGACCAGTCAAGGGAGTGGTCATGGTTAAAGCCAAGAAAGACTAAAATGTGGTTCCATCTGATCCAGAGCCTGTGTTCTTAAGTTAGGAATCGTGGCCCCTGGGCGATGAAACCTGTCACCCCCAAAACTCTTCATGCTCTCTAACTGTTACAGCCAACTTCTACCTGAACCCTTCCCTGCGATTCCATCCCAGTCTTGGGAAGGGTTGAAAGTGGGAAGCTGTCGTCTTCATTCTTTTGTTGAGGGTGAAGGGGTCACTTTGCCTCAGTTCCCTTGTCTTCTGAGGGGTGCCTCCAGGTGATGCCTGCAAACAAGATGAGCAAGGAAAGGGGGACTTGTTTGGGGGAGCTGTAAGGGTGCCCCCTTCAAATCATGGCAGAAGGCTTCACAGCAGTGCTCAGTGCAGCGGTTTTCAAACTTCAGCATCACTGAACGGGGGGGCTCATTCAAACTGCGGGGCTCCACTCCAGAGCTTCTGAGTCAGCAGGTCTAAGATGGGGCCTAAGAATGGGTATTTCTAAGAAGTTCCACCCTTGCTGGTGTGGCTCGGTAGACTGAGCACCAGCCTGTGAACCAAAGGGTCTCTGGTTTGATTCCCAGTCAGGGCACATGCCTGGGTTGCAGGCGAGGTCAGGCCCCCAGTAGGGGGCACAGGGAAGGCAACCACATATTGATGTTTCTCCTTCCATTCTCCTCTCTAAAAATAAATAGTATATATTTTTAAAAGACTGCTTTTACAGTTGAGGGAGGGGGCACACTTTGAGCACCACTGGTTTAGACAAGAGGTTAGGAAATTATGGCAGGACTTGTCACCATGTTTTGTAAATAAAACTTTATTGGGACTCAGCCATGTTTATGATTTGTGATTGCTTTCATGATACAATGGCAGAGTTGAGCAGTAGCGACAGACTGTTTGGCTCTTAACATCTTTACTCTTTGCCCATTTAAGAGTTTATTCTCCCTCTCCTGCCTTTCTTAGTGTGTTCAAAATACTTTCTCTTTGGTTCTTATCCTTTTTCTCCATCTCTGTGCCTAAAGGAGCGCTGGAGAAATGGGGGCCTCAAAGGGTCAAGTAACTAAGGTCAGCCATTAGAAGCAAAAAGGCTTGGGGACTCAGGAATTTCCAGCAGGGAAATCCCACTCTTCATCCCACTCTTGCACTCAGTCTAGCTCTGTGAGCCGTGGTTGTCTCTGCCCAGGGGATGGGCCTTTTCTCCCTCTGGGGCAGACTAAGGCGTCCAAGAGGCTGCCTCTCACCACATTGCCATCTCTTCTCCCAGGCCGAGTGCCCACCCTCCAGATTGTCCGCTGTGGTTCCAAGGCTGTTACCCGCCACCGTCGTGTGATGCACTTTGAGCGGCAGAAACTGATGGCTGTGACTGAGTATATTCCCCCCAAACCTGCTGTCAACCCTAGGTGCCTGGCACCTCCCCCCAGGCCTCTGCAGGAGGTAAGGAGGCTCAGCATGTTACTTGGTGGTGGTATCTGTATACAAGGTATACAGACCTTGTATCTGTGGCCATAGTGAAGTAAAGTTCCAGAACACAGTCATCCACGTCACTGGTTTCTCACTTTGACCCCATGGCCCAGATACTTTAATAATTTTTATCTATTGATTTTAAGAGAGGAAGAGAGAAGTGTCAGTTCATTGTCACACTTATCTGCAAAGTCATTGGTTGATTGTCAAATGTGCCCTGACTGGGGATCGCACCTGCAGGCTTGGTGTATTGGGACGATCGATGTTCTCACCAGCTGAGCTACCTGGTCAGGGCTGGTCTAGATACTTTAAAATGAAACCTGTACTTGATTTGGCATTGGCTTTTTGGGCTCTGTGGATTGGACGGGCCTCTGGAATTTTATTTGTTCTTATTTTGTTTCCGGAAATACTTGTGGGAAAGCTATCACAGTTGGTGGGGCGGGGAGGTGGGGAGAGTGTCTCTGTCCCGTCCCAAAGCACTTGAAGCTTCTGTGTTTTCCCAGAGCAATGAGAGAGGTTCTGTTCTAAAAAGAACAGAAAGACCAGGGGTGTGTTCATGACTCTGTGGTAGTTCCTGTAATTGTGGTATCTAATAGCTTCTAGTTTCTAGTTGGCTGCTGCTGCTTACTGACCCTCCTGCTGGAGGCTGGGGCGCAGGGCGGTGAGCAGCAACTGCAGCTTGTGGCATTTGAGGCCCGATGTCAGACGTTAATGCACGAGGTGGTCAAAGTCATCTGGCAGCGATTCCTCAAGCACTAAGGGTCGGACAGAACCCATCTGTCTGGGTTTTCTCCCCACAGAAGCAAAGAGCTCTCTGAAAGGGGCCCTGTAGAGTCCTTGGCTAGTCACCTTTCAGTGTCTGGAGCCCTTCCAGCAGGCTTCAGCTTTTGCCCAAACTGACTGACAGAAAAACTGATTGATAGACCACAGTTCAGATGACATCGAAGTCGTTGAACGGAGTTTCCCACTCAAGTTTTTCCCTCTAGTCCAGTGCGTCCTGCTGCCTCGTAACTATGAAAGAATCTATAGAACAGCAGTGTGCACCAGAACTTCCCGGGGTGACGTTCTCCGCCCGACTGTGCAGGGCGGTAGCTCCTGACCATACATCACTGCTGAGCGCTGGTAATGGGCTGGTGTGACTGCGGGTCTGGATTCTTCACTGTGCTTAATTTTAATTAACTTGAATATAAACCCACGTGTGGCTAGTGGCTACTGTATTCGACAGAGAATCCAGCTTCAGCACAGTAGGGTGTCTTCCATTATGTTACCTTGTTTGTGTTAATATTTTCATGGAATTCGGCAGAAAGCATCACTGCTTCTAGACATTCTCCTGTTCAAATAAATTTTAGAATTATTGCTGTGGTGAAAAAATCTCTTACAGAGTGTTTATGGGGTCTGCATATATTCTCAGCTTCACAAGTTCACAACTTGGTGAAACACTGTCTCATCCTGTGAAAATGCCTCTATTTTGAATTAACGCTGCAAAAGGGTTATCTTGTATTTATAATTGGTTAAGTAATTCAACATGGCTACAGTATTGGAGAACCGAAGTAATTTTGACAACATCACTGTCAAAATAATGGTGACCGGGTCACACTGGTCACCAGGTCGGGTGACTCAGTGTCCTCGGGTTTGCAAAACAACACTCTCATGGCCGAGAGTATCTGGTGGGAATAAAAGGACGGGGCGGGGGGGGGAGAAGGCACAGGTCTCTCAGCACCGAGGGCCCGACTCCTGCCGGTGTCCTGATCTTCCCACATTTGGTCACCACTGGAAGCCCAGCACCCGTCCCTGAGGGAGAAGCGGCAGCTGATGTCCTCTTGGCCCTCCCTTCCTGACCGCAGGAGACGGGCCTCGTGCGGCTCCTGCGTCGGGAGGTAGCTGCGGTTTTCCGAGACAACCGGATGATAGCTGTCTGTCAGAACGTGGCTCTGAGTGCGGAGGACAAGCTGCTTATGCGACACCGGCTGCGGAAGCACAATATTTTGATGAAGATCTTCCCTAACCAGGTAGGGAGCCACCCTCTGCATGGGCCCTGGCTGTGTGTCCCCTGCTCCTGCCAGGTCAGGCCCCAGCATCTGTCCTCGGATAGGGCACTTCTGACGCCCCCTCCACCGGCAGCACTCCAGTCTGGTGCCTAAAATGCCACTGGGGCTGAGGACACCCTCTGGTTGCCCCCTCAGCCTGAGGTGGCCTGGGACCGAGGTGGTTGGCTCTTCCTGCCACTTGCCCCGCCCCCATCAGTCCTTCTCTCCTGCTCTTCCAGATCCTGAAACCCTTCCTGGAGGATTCCAAGTACCAGAACCTGCTGCCCCTCTTTGTGGGGCACACCATGCTGCTGGTCAGTGAAGAACCCAAAGTCAAGGAGATGGTGCGAATCTTGAGGGGTGTGCCGTTCCTGCCGCTGTTAGGTGAGCCGGCTCCCCTGCCGGTTGGGGGAGGGGTGAAGGGGTACGGGAGCCACAGCAGCCTGGAGCCGTCTGCTGGGTGTGAGTGGGTGAAACTGTGGGCACCCCCCCGGAGAGGACATCCTCTCACAGATGGGGCCCGAGTCCACGGCACAGTTCGTAGAGGGCTGCCTGTGTCTTCCAACGCCTGTGCCAGTCACTGTGCCCTCACTTCTGCACGGGGGG